CTGCTGCTGCTGCTGCTGCCGCCGCCCAACTCCCAGCCACCCAGGGAATGAGGTCTCTCTCTCTCTCTTTATGTGAATATGAAGTAATAGGATAAGCACCAAATAGTTGAACTGTATGACAAGTAGAGATGTCAACTCTAAAGTCTAGAATTGGGAAAATACATGGGATGGGCTTGGAGGCATAAGCCTGAGATAATATCTCAAGTTTGTTTATTTTATGTCATCTTATAATGCATACATGCCCCTCATTGTCTAATAGAATTATATACTCATTATGTATCTAATTCTATGCATACATGGCCCTCCTTGTCTAATAGAATTAGATACTCATTATGTATCTAAACATTATGTTATAAACAATCTATTATTGTACAGTTGAAAATGCTGAGAGCTTTTGTTGCAAAGAACCATCACAGGAGAGAAACAGAAATCTCTAATAAATCAGAATACACAGAAATTTATTTTAAGCCACAAACTACAAAAAGACCAAATGAATCCATTACAGGGAACTGAACCACATGCAGAGCAAATCACTGGGAACGTGAGGCAACTGCATCTGCTTCCCGTTTAGAAACATATAGAAATGCTCTCTGAAATTCACAACAAACTGTATATACATTTTTGATGCCCTTGCTGTCAACATTTTGCATTCCATTTTGTATGAAAATACACTGTTATCCAACACAATGCTTTTTGGTTTTTAGAACTCTCTTACTGCAAGAAAATTTCCCACTCATAAAGTCGCTGAAGACATTCTTGTGGCTTTCAGTGAGTTTCTGACCATTTAAGGCAGAAAAGTAAAAACAAAACTGCCAAAATAAAGGTGAACATTTTTCCTGTCCCTGTAAGGGTCCTTTATCTTTAAAAACAAAAAAGAGAAATTCAGATAAGTGCACCCTCAAATTGTAAAATTCTTTGTCTGAGATCTGCCTGGTGAAATATTGCCAAGATATATTTAAAAGTATTAGTCAACAAAGAATTGAGGGATTTAAATGTAATGGTTAAATCTGTGGATGCAATACTTTAGTAGTCCTTAAATATTTACTATGTTTCTTGAAATTATTTTAAGCTTTTTCCACTCCAATAGGAACTTCAGAATATGTGCACTAAAGTCAGCTGACCTAATTTCCACATGTCCATAATTACATAATTCTTTAACAAATTGGACCATTGATTTATGAACACCAATCTAATTGTGTAGAACTAAAGAGTCTTTCACAATTTTACTTGACCTGTTCAACAAGTAAGCTCTCATAAAAATGTCAGCATTAGGGTTTCCCCTGCCAGCCCTACCCCTATGACCAAGAGTAGCTTAAAATATAGGATTATCTCAATTTATTCTTCAAATAGCTTTGAGAAATAGACCAGGATAATATCAAATGCTAAAGTAACTATCTTAAAAATTGAGCAGCACTTTAAACTTAGGTCTTCCATATTCAGGAAGAAACATTATTTTTAATTCACTTCTATAAGCAAACTATATATCTTATACACATTTTCACATTTGGAAAATTTAAGAATTACATTATCAAATTCTGCTCCAGTGGATTATAGAAAAAAAAATCACAGTTTTATGGGAATTGTCAGCAATTTTGGTGACAGCTTGGTACCAAGACTGATCTTAATTCCTTTAATACCAACTTGAGATGTACAACACAGGCTTCACCATAGTTAATTTTACATTTTACAAATCTATGAAATGGGACTTGTTCAAATACAACTTGTTACGCTGGTAGTAATTTTTTTTTCTAAAATTACCAAATTACTTTCATTATGATGCTGTAACACAAAGAATGCATAAGATTTGTAAAATGAATGATGAAAAACAATTTCAAAGAAGGTGCTGGAATGTATCTGGATCAGTGTGCCCTTTGTAGCACTCTTTAAAAGATGTAAAGAGGGGAAAAAATAAGCAATATTAAATGTTCCTTTGTATTAAACTCCCCTTTAAATTATCAGTGCCTTCACCTTGCAGCAAAGCTTAGATTTATTTATTACATTTATATACCCTCTGACTCCCAACAATTCTGGACAGTTCACAAGTAAAATATATTAAAAACAATAGAGAGAGAGAGACGACAAGATGGTGCTATCTAGGGATGGAGAAATCCAGTAATTTATCACAAATGCCATTAAAAAAGTAAAGTCACCAAGCTGAGCTTGACTTCTTGGCAACCACACAGAAGTGGTTTGTTATGCTTTCTTCTGGGACATTTTTCAACTTCCAGCTGTAGCCTACAGCTAGAGACTAGAAGCTATTTTCTGTAAGATTCCCATCCAAGTTCTAACCAGATCTGATCCTGTTTAGCTTTTGAGTCTGGACAAGGTCAGCCAGATGCTACTGCCTGCTGACACAAAGAAAACTCACACTTCTTTATGATTTGAGAAATGAGGTTGAAGGTACTCTTACCACTAAATTGATGGTTGACCAACAAAAACATCTCAACTGATGTTGTTGTCTTTCTCATCTTCCATAGGAGAATGGAGAACATGATACTGACTGGTGACCTTACTCTCTTCTGAACAATGCAAAAAATTAAATATTCAAAAGTATCAATAAGTTTTACCCAGTAATCTAATAATTTTTTCCTAGTAACTTTTCTCTTATTTATTTGGTATTCTTTTTAGCTCTTAATGGAACTCAGATGTGTCCAATTCCTCTCCCAGGAGATTATGTTTACGAGAAAAATTTGCCACAGCTCCGTTATCTGCGCCTGGATGGCAATGGAATCCAACCCCCACTTCCGCTGGACCTCATGCTATGCTTCCGGCTCCTTCAGGCTCTTGTTATTTAAAGACTGCTTTGTGACACAACGACTTAATGAACATTTTTGCTGGCATTGAACTTGTTACACTTTCCACATATTTCCTAATATACTTTTGTTTTTCCTTGCAGTGTTGAAGTATTTCCTACTTTTTCCTAGTAGCTCCTTTACTTTAAGTATTCTATTAAGAATACTTTTCATAGAGATGGATTCTAATACAGCCAGAGAAAGTAGCTTAAAAATTGCTTTGTTGTTGTATATTTTATGCATCTTGGCCTGAATATTCAGGAATCGTGTTTTAACATGTTAAGCAAAAGTAGTATATATAATTTAGACATGTTATAATCTTTATAGAAATAATATTACTGTAAATGTCAGATAGCTGTGTTTAATTATGAAACTACATATCAGCAATCTTCCCCTCCTCATTCACCATTTAAGGTGCTCCATTATTTCATAATTAAAAAGTAAGGGCGTAAATTAATGTATTTGTGAAAAAATGAACATATTCAGTCACCATAATATTCTTAACTGCGCATACCTAGAACATTTTTTTTTAAATAAAATGGTCTTCATTCCTATATAACAGCAAAACATGTTTTGAAAATTCATTCAAATAGTTCTGGTAAGCTTTGTAAGACATTCATGTATTTGTAATTCCTTTCTTCGTACAAACTTATTTTGTCCATATTATATCTGGATAGCTTAATCTACACAGCATATATAATATATGTATATCAGATAGATACAGAAACACATACACATAAAATCTCTAGATATAAATAAAAATGAAAGCATAAAATACACTAAAAACAATAATAATAATGGAAATCATCAAGATTAATACTATTGTTCAGTCACAAATTAAATGAATAGAAGAAATAGGAGTACAAAATCACACAGCCAGGGAGGATACATCAGAGTCCTGGTCAGACAGAAATGACAAGCTTTGTACTCTGTGCCATCTGGATAGCAAAAACAGTGTCCCTAGTGGTCAAGGAAAGAAAATATAAATATTCAGGGGCATCCTATCATATAATTTTTCCTCCGTAATAATTAGACTTAAATTAAAGATTCAGAAATTATTGAGGATGTTCCATAACAGTATGATCACGTGATATCTATTAACAAATAAGTTGTATTGTATTCAGTGGAACTCTTTCTTTAATAACTGAGCTTA